AAACTTGTATTTTATCCAATTTTACCTTTTTTCATTGGAATTTGGAGGGGTTTTTTTTTTTTTTTTTTTTTTTTAGCCATTATGTATTTCCCAGTGTATGTTTTATTTTAAACTGTTGGTCATCGTGAATGTATTTTTCCCATTTTCAGGAACAAATGTCGCCTACAGAATACAAATCGATGACAGACTGCTAGCCGGCTTACATGCTATACGAGGAAATATTCCCCACAACGTCACTTTGAGCCCAGAAGCGGTGAAACAGCTCAGCCCTGGCTGTCACAAGCTCACTCTCTACGCATCCAACTTGGTGACTTTTCCAGAAGTTTCTTCAGACCTTCAGGTACATCAGTGATAAATGTGCCTATGCTTGTACTGTTGGTTTTTTTTTTTTTTTTTTCATAATTTTGCAATCAACACCCTGATTTTTTTAATTACAGTCCTAATTGAGGTATTAGAGTTTTAATTAATTTTTTTGTTAATATAATGTGTTCTTTATTGATCCCTATTGGGGGGATAAAAACAGGCAAATGACAGATAAGGTAAGAAAATAGCACAAACTTGCTGCTAAAAGAATATAAATTGATTGCTTTGATTATTGAATCAAATCAGCCTGTCGGTGGCAAATCTGCAAACTCACCATGGATCCATAACCACACATGAATTTCATCAGTGTTATAATTTTAACAAACCCTCAGTTTAGATTTCTGCACTTAAATCCTGTGGTGTTCATCATCTCAACAGTAATTCTTTAACATATTTAAGTTTAATCCTTATTTTTTAAACTGATCTGAATTTCTCTTAATTTTTAGATGGTAATCTGTGTGTTTGGTTTCCCTGGATTATAAGTATGACAGAGAGGTGTAAGTCTTCTAATGTCTGGCTATGAGGATGGGCTCGAGTTCACCCGAGTGAGTCGGTAAAGGAGGGGAAAAATATTCAAAACATTACAGTTAAAGATGCGTCACAGAGTCTAATGAGACATATCATGCATTTGGGAGTTTTATTTTGGTATGTTGATATGGTGGAAGATTTAATTTAGGCTAGATTAAAAAAAAAAAAAACTATTTATATAGGTTGCCACTGGTTTGGCTGCACCACTGGCAATGTTAAGTATGGTAGAGGATCTATCATTCTGTGGGACTGCTACTTCTCCAAAAACCCTGGCAATTATGTTAGTCCGTGTGGAATCATGCACTCTTTGAAATATCAAAATATATCAGCGCAGAACCAATAACAAGAATTAATTACCAGGCATAAAATCAACCTTGTGAAAACAAAATGTTTTGTTCTTGCAAAACATTTTATTCCACTAAATAATTAGGTTAAATTAAATTGTATTAATAGTAATTAAATTTGTGTGGGTTTTCTTTTTCGTGTTAATTACAGTTTTTTTTTCCCAAATTGAACATTGGACATTGAGGCAGCTGTTTTTAAATACGTCTTGATTTACATTTACAACCCTTACATTTCTTCCACTAACTCTGTTGTTTTGACTTCTTTCTAAAACGATTCTGATTCTGAGACAGAATCTTAATTGTTAGTGTTGAGTGCCTTATTGACAAACTGTGTGCATATTTCCTTTGCAGTTAATTTAAATCCTTGTTTTACTGCTGAGAAAATGTGAACATAATGAAATAATTTGATTTGTAATTCTACATATGCTTCAGGTCTGTGTCTGGGAAGAGCTCGCCGGGCTTCGGGCCAGCCTGCTGAGAGAGACAGATGATTGTTCTGGCTCTGCATGCATTACTCTTGAAGTTTCACTTGACCGCGGAGAACCTGTTCTGCTCCTGATCTCACTGACTGGAGAAAATGGGACGTTTTCTGAAACTAGAGAAATGAGTACAACAAGGGACATTTTTCAGATCAGTCACCCAATTCAAGGTAGGTAAAAAAGGGAAGGCTCCCAGAGGGAAAAGCTGAGCCAAATATGAATTTACTGGTAATCATTTTGGGGATGTTTTATAGGATCTGTCCAGGTGAAGATTAAAGCGTGGAATGCTTTTTCATGTCTGGAGGTGGAAGTGCTTGGCTCCCATGATGAAAACTCAATGATGGATCTGAACAGTCCTCATGACTTGTTGATCTTTCACAAGAAAATGGTAATTTACTTTACAACAGACAGTTTTTAGTATTTGGGAACATTCAGGGTAATCGGTAAATGTGCATCTTGTGTTTACTTTCAGAGGAAAAGGAATACGCAAGTTGCAGATTACACATTGAAAATCATTGCAACTCCTTCGAATTCAGTGAATCAGACAAATGCAACAATTACACTTTCTTCAAGGGATCCTCGTTTGGCAAACACACAGACCACTGTTTGGTGGACATGCAGTAAGATTTTTGTTTTGTAGTTTTATATTACTTTTGAAAGGAATGCTAGGAATCAAAACAAGTACATAGATTTGTTTGCACAAATGCATGCATATGAAAACCAAAGGTATGTTGTTTTAATTTTGTATGTGTTAGCTACTAAATATTGTTAATAAACTCATGTAATTCCAACTCGGATTAAAATTAGGTTAAAACTGGCAGAAGAAGAAGAAGAAGAAGAAGGGAAAAACATTAGGGTAGTGTTACCTTTTGACTCACTATTAAAATATTAAGATATTATTGAAATATTGGTCTCACATAAAAACCTAATTAATAACTGGTTGACCACCAATCAGCCTTTTCACTCCTACATATTGAGTTTTTTGCCAGCACAAACCAGCTGTTTAAGATCATACTGCAGCTTCCCACTTGGATAGAAGTTCCAACTTTGACTAGGCCACTTTATTTATTTATTTATTTATTTATTTATTTATTTATTTATTTATTTATTTATTGATGAGTTGCATAGAGGTGAATTTGCTGCATAACTCGAGTCTTTGAATTTAAGGTAACTAAAAAATGGCCGTACATTCTCCTGTACGATGCAGTCACCAAAAAAAAAAAGAAAAGAAAAAAGTTTGCCTTTTGCCATTTTAGTTCACAGAATATTTTCACCCCAAATCTTTAAAATCCTCTGAATGTTTTTTGACAAATGAAATGGAGCTGCACTCCTTTTGACTTATGGAATTATTACATGGATACATTTGTTGAACAATCCTTTAGTTTAAATCTGCTCAGGTTATTAATAATTTGTGGCTTACCTCTCTGTGGGTGCTAATGATATGACTTTTCTTTACAGGTAAAAACTGTAAATGTGAACCAGAATCCAAAAATTCAACACAAATCATTCCAGGAAATTGTCTGCCAGATCCTTTAAACTTCTATAAATACACATTAAAGTTTGAGGTGAGACGTAATGATGTGAGAGAGAAATCCATTTGCATCACCCTCAACCCAGCTTTAGACGAATCGGATCGAGTGAGGTACTGGAACTAAGAAAAAAATCTATGTTTATTTGCTGTAAAAGTATTTTATTATTATTATTATTATTATTATTATTATTATTATTATTATTATTATTATTATTATTATTATTATTATTACATTTGTATAGGAACATATTTAGATAGATGTAAAATAAACAACAGATTGGATTGATTATTGCACAGTGCTCAGAATAGCATCATAGATTTTAATTCATTTCCAAAAAAAACCCCAAAGTTAAGCCAGTGACGAAAAACAACAACTTTGTTGAGGTAAATAAAAATATGTTTTAAGTTAAAGAATTACATTTTGAATTTGCAAAATAAATCCCTTACACAGATGAAAAAGGTTTGGGACAATGCAAGAGTTAAGTGCAGTAACAACAAAAAATATCTGAATGACTTTTTTTATTTCTGCTCTTTTTATTGAAATATTGCTTTACCTGACAAATTTAAGTGAATACTTTTTTGTTACCTCAGTGATCATTGGCATTATTAGTATCCCAAAACACCAGAGGCTTAGGCCAGGCAAGAATTTTTTATTTCTTAGATTTCACAGACAATTGGCTCCTTATCAGCAAATTATGAATTTATGAATTTATTTTTAAGAAATCTTTTTTTTTTAATAATGCACTTTTGCTTGTGCTTTTCCACCACAACTTTCTTTTTTTATCACCTTCTCCCAAAAAGAAGCTTAAAGCATTTGTTTTCATAAATGATAACAAAAGCAGTTAAATTCCCCTTATTGACATCTCTGTGGTAGAAACAGCTCAGTTGTGATATTTCTGCAGCAGCAGGAGGAATAATTTCATCATTTCTCCTCCGCCAGACTCAGCAGCTATGAATTTGGGAAAAAAAAAAACATTTATCATCTGTGTGATCACAAGTATAAGACACGGAGCAACAAATTAGATTTTTTTTTCCTTTTTTTCCTTTTCAGTCATTATCTGGTTATTATAATAACTAGATAATTGTGGAGAGGTTATATAGAAAGCAGCAAATCAAATAATTTTGTTTTTAGGTAAATATTATAATGACTTTTTAGTCATGTTTTTTAAATAAATATATTTTTTAAATATTTTACATAGCATATGAAAATATATAGGAGCTTAGGGTTAAGGGCATCCATGTTAATTATTCTGATCTTTCATTTCACAGCTTCACTTGCATTGATAATTGTAGCCCAGCGTTGCAATCCAAAGACACAAAAGTTAAAATGAAGTGCAGTTCTTGTTTAAATTATACATGGTTTGTTGAGGAGACAAATGTCTACCAGGACTGGCCAGTAAGTCTCATAAATTATGCATGAGTGGTTCCAAGTTTGTGAGGAGTTAAAAAATAATCATTTCCACTGACTAAACAAATGACAATGTTCATTTCTTCACAGAAAGAGACAAGGGACTGCTACAATGATGCAAATCAAATTCCTCTCGTTGAAAAACAGGACAGTGCAACAGAATATGTCATCAAGCAAAAATATATTAAGGAAGCATCAAAAAGGCACAAGAATATCACTGTTGTGTTCATTTATTCAGGTGTGCATTTTTTTTTACTCTTTAATTTTTGTCCTACAAAGAGTTTCTGGTCATGCTGAATCATCAGAAATATTTGCTAAACCTTTGAGAGTGAATACATTTTTAACAGAAGGCTGTTTGGCTTTCAAACTCAAGAAGAATGTACCCACTGTTCGGTGGTGATGCCATCATGATCACAAAGCAGATTTAATAATACAGAATGAATACTGTCAATTTCTATAATTTCACTTTAGACTGGAGATGGATAAAAGGTTTGATGCAGAAACTCACCTGAAATCTTGCATACCAGTTAAAATCATAGTTTGCAAAAAGGATCTAAATTATGTAATTGTTCAATGGTATCAGTCAGGATAAGGGTACATATAAAAGAGTAGCAGAAAGAAACAAGTTTTAATTATGAAATGTTCTTCTTTCCAAAGTGGGTGAGGAACTATTATACAAAACCTATATCATATGGGTAGCAGCATCTGCATATGTTCCTGATCCAAACAGTGACCCAGAAACAACAGAGGCTAACATGTCAACCTGGAGCCCTGCAGCAACACCAACTGCAACTTCTTCAGCTGCAACTCCTTCAGCTCCAACTCCTTCAGCTGCAACTCATTCAGCTCCAACTTCTTCAGCAGCAACTCCTTCAGCTTCACCTGCTGCCACACCTACCACTATGGCTGCTCTTACATCTCCAAGTGCATCAACTTCAAGACCAACCACTGAGGTTTCTGAAAGCCTCTCATGCACTATATCACCATCAACTGGAACTGTACTTGATCCTTTCAGCATAATCTGCACCAGTGCCCAGCTTTGTTCAAATTGTCAGTACTGTTTTCAGGCGGAGGGTAGGTAATTCCAGACTATTGTATTATCTATCTTTAACTTGATTACACATTTTGTTTTAATTTATGTCAATCATCACCAGTTTCTACTTTATTTTTTTTTCTAATTTTGTCAGAAAAGTATCTGTTGTGCAGTAAAACTGGAGAAGTCAGGGTTCTGTACCTTCCTGTCGGAGACAGCAGCACTGAAAACAAATTCCTCATAACAGCGACTGCAAAAAACAGCAGCTATGAAGTTAGCACCACTCTAACCGCACAGGTTTGTGAAAGACAGAATGCAGGTGGTGAAAAGAAACCTTAATGAAATTACCTTTCTTTTTTTAAAATAAATAATTAAATGTATTTATTTAAATGTAAAATAGTCAATTATAAATCTATAATAAATATTTTTATTTTTTTATGTTAAAACTTTTTGAATATTTAAAATTATGTAGAAATAAATAATGATTTATTTAAATAATGTATAAATAAATATTTGTTTAAGTAGAAAAATAGATATTTATCTATTTAAATGAATTAGTTTTTTATTTATTATCATTTTATTTAAATTTATCATCAACAAATGAAAATAAATGTATTCATGACAAATACATTTATTTAAATAAATGTATTTAGTTAATTAATATTTAATGGTAAAAATTAATTATTTAATGGAGTATTTAATAATTTTACAATACATTTAATACATTTCATGATATATTTATTTATTGAACATATCTTTAATTACATCAGGAGCCACGAAATGAAAAATACACACTGAAATAATTAAATGTTTAAGTAAAAGTTGCCTTTAGGACATTTTATTACTTAAATTATTTAAAAGGGTAGATTTAATTATTTAGTGGGATATTATAATTCCATATTATATTTCATTATTTTGCTGTAAATGTAATTATTTAATGATGATTTTAAGTAATTTTATGACACATTAAAGCCGTTGATGGGAGATTTATAAATATGTATTTTATGGTTTAGTTATTTAATTTTGACCCTCCCACCCCCATAACCCGCCTTACGTTTGACCTGATTGAGTTAATTCATTATTTACAGGTTTTGGATGCTGCAGCTGACTTGTGCTCAGTGGACGGTCTGGACTCACTGGTACTGAAAGCTGTGGATAAGCTGGAGAGTGAAGGTCTACTGTCAGCTGTTTCTATTGGAGAACTTTTTAACTCGGTGGCTGAAAAGCTAAACAGCAAAAATGATGGATCAGAAAAAGAAGCTCGACAAGAGGTAAAGTCTCCATAAGGATTAGTGTTAGTCAGATTTATGTTGACATTTTTCTAATGTCCAAATTAACGCTCATCATGAAAACGGAGAAATATGAAGGTTGATGTTTCTCTGATTTTCTCTGGTCTGCAGGAATATTTTGACACATCAAAATGTGTTAATGTCTTTCAATAAAACGCAAATGAGCGGGTAATAAACCATAATTCTGTTTATAGTGGTGATAAAACAAATCGTACCAAATTTTACTCTCTCAGAGAGTTTTAGAGACACATTAAGTAGCAATCATGGTGAAACTGTTACAGCATTTTTTGTGCTTTTTTTTTTTTTTTTTTTGTCAGAAGCTTTGAATAATTTACGCCCCAATTTCTTTAGATGAAAGTGTATTCCAAAAATATAACATATGGAAATGTATTTAATTGATTGTCTCAGTTTTGAAAGGTGAAACGTGAAGTGTTACATGTGAATTGTTGACTTTTGTGATTTTCTCCTAGTTTACTGATTCTCTGTTGTTCAGTCCAGTTTATTGAACAATCAAGCACACCGATACTGTGGCCATTAAAGCAGTTAATGATACTTTAGGACAGTGTTTTTCAACCACTGTTCCGCGGTACACTAGTGTGCCGTGAGTGATCGTCAGGTGTGCCGTGGAAATTATTCAATTTCACCTACGGTACCGTATTTTCCGGACTATAAGCTGCTACTTTTTTCCTAAACTTTGAACCATGCTGTTCAAAAACGGTGTGGCTTTTCTGTGTATTTTTCTTCAACCACCAGGGGCTCTATAGCAGGAAGTGAATCATTAGAAGTCAAAATTGTAGATCAAAGAAGAACGCGTTAATTTTCATTTAGAACAACCACATGCTAGCAGCAAGCACGACGGAGAAATGTTTTCAAACTCGTATGGTGCAGCTTTTAAGTTGAGGGCTGTTGAGCTGCCACTACAGGATGGAAATAAAGCCGCTGTACTTAAGCTCGGTGTGAACGAAACCATGGTTCGGCTTTGGAGAAGGAGGACTGTGTCCTTAATATATCCAGCAGGTTTATTGGGCTCCATACCTTATGGAAAACCAAGAGCAGCTTCCAGTTTTTTTTTATTTTATTTATTTATTTATTTTTTTTAAAATTGAAGGTGCTAGTATGGTGCGCTCTATAGTCCGAAAAATACAGTAATTGGTTTTAAAAGATTTTTTGAAAATGAATTATCTGCAAATAATGCCATCTTCGAGTGTCTGTTGTAGTAGTGGCTAGCGGCGTAATCATGTAATTTTCTTACCACTAGATGGCAGTAGGTACAGAGCATTTTACATTAAAACAAGAGAATTAGTGATGCATGAATGTTACAGGTAGCGGTGAGAGCATCGTATCTAGCAAGACTAACGACAGTGATGGAAAAGACAGTGAAGCTCAGCATCTGTTGGAAAGAACATGGGTCCATTTCCCACAACATGTCTGTGTGAAGTGAGCTTCTCAAGCCTGGATACTATAAAAACTGAAACCAGAGAGACTGAGAGCTGATGAGGAAGAGCTTTGTCTTTCTTCAATTTCTGCCAGGAAATCAGCTGTTTTCATCCAAATATGCACGTTTCACACTAGATGGGTAAAATATACAGATATTGACATTTTGTACATGCAAATCTTCATATTGTAACAGTGAATATGAAGTGAAATGTTTCCCAAATATTATTGCTTCTTTCAGAATAAGAATCATTTTCTGTATTCTGGCTATAAGAATGCTTATGGATTAGTTTGTAAAACACTTTGAAGTTTTCTACAACTTCTTTAAATTTAAGACCACAGTGTTGTGGCCCTGTTCAGGTGTATTTTTGAAGTGGACATGTTATGTGCAATTTGAAATAAGAAATGTAAAATGTGATAAAAAAAAAATACATTTTTGTGTTTATTTGATTCCTATTCAAGACACTTTGATAAGAATATATGTAATATAGGCGGCTACAGAGTATCTTTGTTTACATTTTTGGTTGGTGGTGTGCCTCCAGATTTTTTAAAATTAAAACAGTGTACCTTCGCTCAAAAAAGGTTGAAAAACACTGCTTTAGCAGTCTGGGCAGGTGCCAAGAACTGCTGGGAAAAGAAATCTGCATCTTTGTTAAACTTGTTAACAAAGGGAAGCAGGAAGATTTCAAAAATGTTGTTTTTTAAGACATTTGCTGTGAATTGCCACCATATAAATTAACTCAATAAGCAAGCTTGCTTTTTTAGCGCTTCTCCCAAATACGTGTATCTTTAACTGTGTGTTTATCTCATGTAATACCATTTTTATTTTCTAAATGCATAACTTCTGGGTTTCAAAGCTCAGGCAGAAGATGCTGGACTTGATGATTGGACTAGTGAACGAGTCTCCAACACAAACTCCAGAAGAAACTCAGGTGGTAGCCAGAGGACTTACTTCTCTCATTCAGAAAGACGATGAACTCAGCTTGTCTGCACAGGTAATGAAGCGTTTTATTGTTTCAGAAAAATAATATGAACCACAATTAAAAGAACCATTGCTGTACTCTTGATGCACAGCAGAGTTTTTCTGTAAGGTGGCAGGGTTAGTTTGGCATCCCCTACCTGGCAGATGGTAGCTTTGGCCATGATCATCAGTAAGATGTTGCATTAGACAAACCATGAAAAGTTAAATCCTGCAGGTTAGCTTGAGGTCTTCAAAGGTTATGCAGGTCAAACTGAAGGACATGAAATATGTAAGTTATTCCTCACATGTTGGCAGAATGATTTGTGGTTTAAATTGTGGCTGTTTTCAATGACTTACTAATAATATTTGGATGATTTGAGGTTAGAAGGTGGATTTGAAGGAATGTGAAGGTCAAGCTGCTACTGCATACTGATCTGGTTGAAAACACTAAACCAGAAGTGCAGTTCTGGAGAGCTACTCAAGATGCAGCTTTCAGACATGGACTTTACTGTTCAAGTGTTCTTTAAAGCCATTAAAGTAATGTTTTAGAAAAGGAAATGAGTGGAAAATGTTACTCTTACAATGTCCTTCTTATCAATAAGTTAAGCTAGAAAACAGAAAAATTATAAATGTTACATGTTTCCTGTTAGTTCTTTGAGTAAAATTAAAGCGCACCATAATGCCTGGTCTGGATGGCTTATGTTTTAATTTTAAAACCTCAGGGAGCAATGTAAGAACAAGCAGTCTCAGAAATACTGACTTTTCCTGCTTTACATTCTTGCAGACATTAAAAACAACAGAAACAGATTTACCAATCTGTCACATAGTGCTGCAAATATTTCAATAATAAAGTAATACCATTTTAAAATTTAAACTTAAACAGTTTGGTATATTTCATCACCTACCATAAGATGTAGCATAATGAGTTTCTCCTCTGTCAACGATCCTCTTTCATTACATTACTGCAAATAGAGGTGATGTAACACAGTGTTGAAAATGTCTGGGCTGTTTTTATTTAAGTGGAGGTGTGATAGTTGGAGTAGTTTGCACTGTTTTGTAGAGAAATTACTTAGAATTCTAATTTAACTTTAATAGCTTAGATTAGATTACTTATTATTCTTATGATACACAAAAATGCAGATAAAATAGGGCCATAACCAACACTAATTATAAAAATTAACAACACAATCAATTAAATTTGATCAGAATAAGCTTTGGACCCCAGTCTGATTGCAGTTCACTGAGTTGATATCTTTCTACAGATTGATGCCGCCACATTGTTTGCCAACCTCAGCTTATCTGTCCTGGATATGAATGTGAGCACAGCTGAAGACAAAGACAATGTTATCATCGCTGCAAGCATCATTGTGGAAGGAGTGGGCGTGATTTTGGAGTATTCTTCCAATGTGAGTCATCAACTTGAAAGCCCACGCAGTGGGGATTAACATCTCCCTGGCAGATTTCATAAACATGTCTGTGGATGCATTTTAATTATTAAAGTAGCTACTATTGTTGGTCATTTCTGAAAAATCGGTTCAGAAAATACTGTCTGGTCTCAGTGGTCGATGTTTTTCAGTATTACTCAGTTTTGGTGAACCTCGAAAACTAATATGTTGATTAATCTTTTACAGAAAAATATCTCTGACGCCTTGCTTGCTGCTCTGAGCATCATACAGAGCACTTTGTTGAAAACAATGACGGTTAATGAAGGTCCAATTATAATACAACTACCTCATATCAGTTTGTTCGTCAATCGGTATGTTTGACTTTAACTCTAAACTCTGAGACATATATTTTTCAAAGGGGGTTTTTATGCAAAATTGACTTTTTTGTAATGTTATTGTAGTGTTGCTTTGACTCATTTATACATGTTTGAGAAATCCTTGATTATTTACCCAAAGCTCTGTCTTGGAGCGGCAGTTTCCAGCTGAGATTGTATCCCACAGAGCTCCCATACATCACTCAGCTCCTCCAGACTAGCGGCAGCAGCAATTAGCAAACACCTAGTGGAACTGCAAAACCGCGGAGCTCATCAAACGAACTACCCCTCACTTCAACGCTTCAAAAAATGGCATCATTGAAAAGCATGTTATGATGATGTGCTGAAGATGGAAAGCGCAGAAGCTTCTTAAAAAGAAGCAGAGGCCAATTTCAAGGCATCAAATTGCAAAGTTAAATTTCTAAGTACTGTTTGACATAGTTTGTTACTTAAAGGTGTTATAAAATGGGACTACGTACTTGGTAACATTCAGTCATTGTGAAATTTCATCTTCAAATACATAAACCGGCTTGTGATGCAACACAAGAATGTTGACAAATGTTCAACTTTTGTCGCTCCTCGTGTTTCGAGCCCATTAATCGAATGAAGTCATTTTATTTTACCATGACTCTAGATTTGATGCGTCTTCTGATCTTATCCTGCAGAATAAAACCTGAGATTTTACACAAAGAGTCCATCAGTGCTAATTTAAGTTCTCAGCCCACGTTTTCGCTGCCACAACTCCCATCTGACATGTTTCTGTCAGATGAACCAGTGGATGTCCGGGTAAGCCAAAATCATTGTTTCATGTGAAATCAGAGTGCAGCCAATAGCAAGTGTCTTCCAGATGCTGTGCGTGTTTGATCAAAGAGGTCTTCAATTTTCTAACGTGTCTTTCTTTAAATGAGATTTAACCCTGATTTGTTCTTTCAAATACAACAACAGATGCTGAGTTTAGATAAAAACCCCTTTTCTTGGAACGAGAAAGGAAACATTAGTGGACTGATAGGTGGTCTGTCCTTCACAAGAGAAGATGGATCCGGTATCCCTGTGGAGAACTTAAGTGAAGATATTGAGGTCAGTGTTGCAGCACTGCAGCATCGGGGAATTGTTCGAAACTGTGATTACCTTTTAAAATACAAACCTTACTGAGAGGACTTTTGAGACAAATCAAATCAAATCCGAACTTGCTTACTCCTAATTTGACTCCATACATACTTTTTGTTAACTGAGCTTCATCAACTTAGCATTTCAGCGAGTGCACTGTGCTGTCATGTCAAAGTAATAATGGTTGCTACATCTTTTTGGCACTTCTAAAGGAAAAGTTGTTTTATTTTTCAATCTCACTTCACACTTCACAATCACACTTCAGAGAGTGTTTTACTCTCTCTGAAGTGCTCCCCTGGAAAATTCCCATTTTAGAACCCAATAGGTTTACATCCTTCTGATTTCAAAACTAAAACATTCTAGCTTTTGGTGGAAACACTCAAACCAAGCACATCAGATTAGGTTTTACAAGTGATTCCTGTGAAGCATAAGGATACAAACATGGAGCATTTTTGCCTTCTGGTAATGAAGTATTGCCTGAAGTTATATTGTATTACTTATTGTCAACAAAACAAATGTTTTATTATGACATTGATGAATTGTAATTGAAGTTTCTGAACCTCAAACCAAAACATATTGCTAGGATTGTTGCTTTGAATGAGGTAGTTCAATGAGAGCACATTAGTGTAATAGGAAGTGTGAATAAATGCACCCTAACACTAGCCATTCTTACTTCTTATTGTAGTTGATCCCCTGAAACAATCTATTCACGATATGCTGTTTTAAGAGCAGTATTTGTGTTTGTAGGGCTTCTATTTTAGTCACAGCCACACAATCTTCAACTAAAAAATGCACTGAAGAGCAAATTCAAAAGGAGAAAATTCCCTTCACAGCAAAAGCAAACCATTTTCCACGCTGTAGGTGGTAAGGGTGAGTTTTTCATAGTAATTTCTGAGTTATCCAGAGATTTTTTTTATTATTCTTCTCTGTAAAATGCAAATTTGGGTAATATAGCTCAGCACCAAATTTTATTTACCAGAATGAAATGAGTTTCTTGTTTAAATTGGACAAGAGGCAGTTTTGATTTTCAACTTTAGTCCATAACATAAAAATAGACTTCTACTTCTACCTGCTTTGCCACCCTGGGTCTGCTGAGAGTCTTGATGTGCAAATTGTGTTGCATGTGTTTCTTACCCCTGTCCAAGGATGTGCTGTTTTAGGGGTCACAAGATCACAAATTATTCATGCAAAAGTGTCAAAAGAAAACGCCGTACATTTTTCTTACTGTTTAGTTTTTTCCAATCAAAACATATGAGTATGTATTATACTCCACTTGTTATTCTAATCAGAGCCATGGGAATATCTGAAACAAACTATTATGTTTATTTATGATTGCATTGCAGGAGTACACATAATCTGCTCTATTTAAGCTACTTGTGCATAAACAATCATTTGAAATTAATCAAGTAGCTACTTGATAACCTCTAATTAATGTGAATGAATTTTACATATAATTCTAGCTGAGCATGCTGAACCTAGTAAGAACAGTTTGTTATTTGCCAGTAAAATATTTATATTCTTTCCATCTGTTTTTTGCTGTTGGCTGGTTCCATAGATTCTGTTGCCAAGACCTGCTGGAGAGCAAGTGAACACCTCAGTTTTGGATCTTGGGAACTACAGCACAACAGCCATAGATGTTCCCTCAGCCGACTCCACTCTGCTTTTAAAGGTGCACTTAGATGTTTATGTACTGAACGTTCAATGGACATTTCATTGTGAGTTAAAAGATCACCTCTGCAAATAACCATTTACATACTTTTACAACCCTCACCATAGTAAAGAATAGTGATTTGGCTGAAAAACCTTTCATGATATGCATTTCATATAATTTGATATCAATGATTATTGTAGCTTTTTGTTGTAAATATTAAGAACACTGCCTCACTTGCTCCTCTTTTACCTACAGTTTTCTCTTAAGAGTTAGTTTTCTGCCACCCACAGTGTTTTACTAATTTAAATCTTTTCCTCAAATAATTTTGGGACAATATTTTGATACAAAAATATTGATTTCATGTTTTAAAGATGGTGCCTTCTGTGGATCCTTTACCCTTCAAACTGTTCCTTGGTTACATGGACTACCCTACTGACACAAATTATGTAGCGATGACAGAGATGCCTCTTCCGGGATCTACTCAAGGTAATAAAAGTTTTCCTCTGTTATATTTCACATCTGATATTTGTGTGATTTACCTGAGCATATGTTTGTGTCTGACGCAGAAGAAAGATACACATGGCTTCTTAGTCCCACACATTTAAAGGGAAATGCTGGATTGCATTATCTTGTGGTGAGGCCTATTGTTGGTCCAGGTGTGAAATCTATCAATGCCACATTATCTATCACCCCCATTACATCCTCATGCAAGTTTTGGAATGAAACTCTATTGGACTGGAAGGATTCTGGATGCAGAGTAAGTATAATTATTTCTTATTAAGAAGCCGATCTTTTGAACACCATGGTGCTTCCGTTCTTTTGGGATAATGATGTTTGTTTGTTCTTCAAGGTTGGTGTCAAGACCACACATTTAGTCACCCAGTGCTTGTGCAACCACCTCACATTTTTTGGCAGCTCTTTCTTTGTAACTCCAAATCTCGTTGACCCTTCACGCACTGCTGAGCTGTTTGCGACCTTTGCTGAGAACCCAGTGGTTGTGTGCTTTGTCGGGGCTCTTTTTGTGACCTACCTCCTCGTGGTTGTGTGGGCACGAAGAAAAGACATCAAGGACACAGTCAAGGTAAAGTCTTTCTCTGCCAACTCCACTTTATGAAAACATTTATATCTCAAGTCTAGTTTGAGCATCCTGAAATTTAGAAGTTTTTTCTGCTCATATGCTGAAGTTAAAGTTATCTATGTAAGTGATTGCTATTTTACTGATAGGTAAATAAGCTTTTATTAGCAAGCAAGCCCAGTTTGACATGAATGAAAGAATGGATGATCAGTTTAGTTACTTTACTCGCATGCAGGTGAAGGGGACGGTGCTGGAGGACAACGACCCCATGGATAATTACCGATATCTGTTGTGTGTTTGCACTGGACATCGCATAGGAGCCTCCACTTCTTCTCAGGTAGTGAAAATATGGATATGCATTTATTTAGGATAAATGGATCTTAAATACCAATTTTTAAAAATCGTCTCAAAAATGATCTGGAACCTTGTTTGAAATGTCTCTTAGACAGTTTTGTCTTAGTAATATGCAGAAAATGAAAACAAACAAAAGAACTACAGTCCTATAATCCTGTGACTTGCAGGTTAGTGAATCCATTAAGAATCATTAATGAGTATTTACCAGCAGATATATACAATGGGAATGTGTATTGCTGCAGCATCAGTTAACTTGCTGCTCAAAAAGCATCTAAGTTTTTGCTTTTTCAGTCTGGAAAATTTAATTTGCTGGGGATTTGAACAACAGAAATAATAAGGACATGCTTCATCCTTTAAGCCTGTGCCGTCAAAAACTCAGATCACTTTCTAGCAGCTAAACTAGTCACAGACTCAGAAAGTTTAATCCAAACTAATTATTTAATCTTCAACTCACTTTATAGCATAAAAGCAATCATGTAAACAAGTCGTGATTCAGCTCAGCTTAGCCTTGGCTTCCCAAACATCCGGCCAACATTCTGTCTGTCAGCATCACTTTCATTTCATCTGTCTCCATCTGTGAAACTCACCAGAGCATTTCAAAGCTAAACAGACCAGATTCTGCATCAAACACTGGTGGAAATAATAAAAAGGGTAAACATTGACTGAACTTTTGTTTCCGTGTCGGGGGCTCATTTTGTACAAGAATATGTTGACATATTGTTGCTGCTGGAAGAATGTTAACAAGCACTAGCAGCAATTCGCCGAGCATATAATTCTGACTCTCTGGTAAATTAAAAAAGATAAATAAATAAATCTTTAACTGAAATAACATTTGAAAACCAAATCCTTAATTTTAGTACATTTAATTAACAAGGTAAACAATGTACAAATATGTAGAGTTGAAGCTAGAAGTTTACATAGACTGAATAAAAAAACATGGATTTTTTTTTTTTTTCTCATCAAATGTCTTTTGTTTTAGGTCAAATTATTTCTACTTGCTAAATATCGCAATAATAAGAGAAAGAAGTTATTTATTAATGTCCTCAAAGTCAGAAGTTTTTATGTGCAAATGAAGTAATTTTTCTTTACAGATAAAGAACCAGAGGATTCTTGTGACGCAGTATTTTGTTTCAGGTTGTAGTCACTCTTCTGGGTGCAGACGGAAACAGTAAGCCTCATCACTTGAGTGATCCAAAGAAACCCGTGTTTGAGCGTGGAGCCGTGGATTTGTTCCTGCTGACTACACCGTCCTCTTTGGGAGAGCTGCAGGGCATCAGACTGTGGCACAACAATTCTGGAAACCATCCTGCTTGGTGAGAAATCACAAAAAAAAATACTTAAAAAACAAAAAAAAGATGAACTAATAAGACCTACTCTGATTAATGCCGTGACAGTATAATAAATATATCATGTACAACAGAGATGACAGTCTTAGATATGAATACATATTTTTAATGACTACATAAAGCAGATTCATTCAGTTCAAATCTCAAAATTTCCACCATGAGGATATAAATGATTTGTCTAACTTTATTCCAACCAGAATGCGTGGAATAATATACTGAATTGCATACAATATCCACATTTCAAACAAACATGAAGAAGCTCCAATCAGTATTCAGGAATTTTTACTTCATTTGTGAAATAAGTAGTTTTGGCAGGCTGTAAGTGCTGAACAACAAACCACTAACAAGTACATGCTGCGTATAAAAAAAAGAAGCAGAAACAAAGCTAAGAGCAGTATCAGTGTATGGAAAAACCTATTACACTTTCATTACTTCCACAAGAAGTGAGTGCCTGATTACTAGCCAGGTGCTGCTTACAAAATATACTTGATTAACTGTTTATCGGTATGTTTTTTTTTCCCCTCTGTGAAAGCAGAAGTTGGCAGGATGCCTGTCTTAACCAATAATTGGTGTGTTGGAACGTTACCCAGAAGAAAGTCCAACTGATTCTTGACAGCTGTATGAATAAACTGAATATGTTTGACTGTCAGAGATCTGATAACTAAAGTTTGGATAAAACAAAGTCAATCAGCTAAAGCACTGAACCAAAGCTATGTCAAATTGACTGAAAGCAAAAATATGTGCAATTACAGCAAGGACATAATGAAGAACTGTTATCCTCACATACTAAAGGGTGAATGCTAAATATGATTGATTTTCCACAGCAAAATCCTGATTATGACTTTCTTGAAAACAAAGAGCATTCAAGAAAACAACATTGCAGAGACTCCAGTTTTTCTGAAGGTTCCAGTCACTGATTTTGCTCATTTACTGGTGCTGAATTCAGCCAACTCTCCTTTTGCTTTAAGACTTACTGTAAATTCATCAGAAAGTGTCCCGCAATAACGTCCCACATAGAGAGCGTGCTCAGCGTTTTGCCAACCGCCATAAAAAAGAAGTAGTCCTCAGTGTTTGTGGAAGTAAACATGGATGCTAACGGTGAAGCATAGCTTACGATTTTGAAGTTGTTGTCCGAACGGAGCCAGCACAGTAATCACCGAATCTCCGAATCTGCAGAATAGTGACGTTTGTCGATCAATGACGTTCAGGATCTGGCCGTTAGGATTCAGATCACATTTGAGGAGATCGGATAGTATCGGTCGCATTCAAAGAAATCCGACCTTTGTTGTTCAGACTGCCTTAAGACTGTCAGATACAGGTTGCATTATGTAGCAAGTTGCCAACCTGCAGTTGACAACTTTATGGACAACTTTATATGGAAATCCACATTATTTGGTTCTGGAAACTGAAACTAAAAACTAGTCCAAAAGAGGGCTTGTCTGGAGCAGACTTCTACATCTTAAAAACATTGATAGTGGTTTAACTGAATTAGATTCTGAACTTTTAAACCGTTGTCAAGTTAAGATTTGGTGGTTATTTACGTGAAAGCCAAGGATATATGAAAAATGGAGGTAGGAAAATACAGTTTCTTTTAAAAATTCAAGTAAATTTTTTTAAATCAATACAACATTTTAACAAATGGAGTCTTGACAAAAGTTCAGTCTGGAAGACTCTAGTCGCACCTGCCTCATCAATCAGCGCCCGCCTCTCTGCAACCTGGACCTATCGGCGCGGACCAAGCCTCGCTCCAGCCAATCATCGTTTGGGCTTCAGTTCAAAAGGACCTTCACCCATAGCCTCCTCTGCTCACCAGCTGCGATCAACCCACCTCCACCCCATCTCCACCTTCTGCTCCCGGCTCTCAGGCCTCATCTTCCTCCGACCGCCGCCACCAGTACAGGCCCCGGGGGGTCTACATTCCTATGCTGCATCAGGAATGTTCATCGAGCTCATCGAAGTCCAGCTCGATGTCCCCGGCCGGGGCCTGAACGCCAAAGGACTTTGTTTATTTTCATGTTCATTTTGTCATTAAACTCTTTTAATTGCCTTCTTTCTCCGTTTGAGTCTCTCCAGATTGAAATGAAGGTATATATAGGTTTATAGCACAGTCAAAAAACTTTGTGCCTGGGAAATACACAATACAGCCTGTTAAGACTCACATAAACAGTTGGCTTCATGGAATCCACATGTTCTAACTTATTAATGTAATGTTGTGACACTTCCCACCACATTGTGGCCTGACATGTAATACTTTCAAAAATGAAAAAAATGTAGACTTCATGAGATAAAATGTTTGTTGTTTCCTTCAGGTTTGTGGGCAACGTCCTTGTGCAAGATTTACAAACAGAGCAGAAATGGTATTTTTTATGCAACTCCTGGCTCGCAATAGACATGGGTGATTGCTGCCTCGATAAACTCTTTCCTGTTTCGACAGAGATGGATCTGAAGAAATTCAGGTAAGGCAGAAGTGTAGCGGTACATTGAGGTGCACAATTACATACACAAGGGCACCATTATAGTCTGCAGAGCTGATGTGAATCTTGGGACGTCCGTTTCCATTTGAATTTCAATGAAAAGTCAAATCAAATGTAAATCAGATGCAATAGCAGGCTCGGATTTCAGTTGAAGAAACATCAAATTTATTGGAAGAAAAGCGAAACCTTTTGAAATTTGACTTTTTAAAACAGCAAGTCTTCAACTGAAGCCAACTTCTTAGCTAATGAAGGTATTTGCATTTTGAGAAAAAATAGTCTGTTATAGGAGAACTAATTAGCCAATGGATGAGAAGTGAAATATGAATATGATTAAAGATTTCTAGACAGTCTTGTTAAGTTATTTTAATTTACTTTAATTGTTAAACTGTGAACTAATTACAGTTAACAGGTAAGTTTGTTTTTTTAGAACATAAATAACTGATTTTTTTTGCAATGGATCTCGACTTAAAAATTGAGCTGATGATTCAAAGATTTACAGCTTTTTCTTTATTCTTAAATGACAGCAAGCCACAAATCCCATCAAATGTTGTGTCTCTACACAAAGAGATTAAAATATGTTGATAATCCTTCACTAATTGGGAGTTTATCTTTGTCTTAAAATGTTTATAACATTGAAGCTTCTATCTTCCAGTAACTTGTTCTTCATGAAGACGGCAAAGGATTTCAGTGACGGACACCTTTGGTTCTCTGTGATCAGTCGACCGCCGAGCAGCAACTTTACTTGTGTGCAGAGGGTGTCCTGCTGTTTCTCCCTGCTGCTCTGCACCATGCTGACCAGCATCATGTTTTATGGGATCCCAACAGACCCCTCAGATCAGGTCATGGATTTGGGTACATCTACTTTTATTTACACTTCACAGTACCTCAAGAAACAAAAGAAAACGCCACAAACTTGTCTCATCAGAGCTATGTTTTCAGGTCACTTTGAGTTCACCTGGCAGCAGTTCATGGTTGGGGTTCAGAGTTCCCTCATCATGTTTCCAATAAACATCCTCATAGTCAGCGTCTTCAGAAACACTCGCCCTCGGGAGTCGTCTTGTTGTCAAAGAAAAACAAAGACAGCAAGTCGCCGCCAGCAAAAAAGCAGCGTACAGACAACTTCTCTACAACCGGGAACTACCATCAGCAGCACAGGGAGCTCCACTTTAGACACCATAATAAAAGTAAGTGCTTTGTGCCTTTGTGAACAGCAAAGAAAACCCATCGCAGACCTTGAACATTGTTTTTTCACCATTTTGTCTTGTTGCAAACCACAAGCCTCTGTGTATTTCACTCTGATTTCATGTGATAGACCAACACAGAATTAAAGCACATAGAGAGGAAGAAAAACAATATGTGGTTTTTCACATTTATTACATGTAGAAATCCTAAAATTCTTTTTTAGTGCAAATCTGATTGAGTTCATTTAAAACATATTTTATTTATACCACAGAGAAATAAAAGGTTTTGTTACTTATATCACCCAAGTAGCTTCAAAACTTTGAGTTGCACCAACATTTAATTTCTCTCTGGGATTTATAAAGTATTTTTCATTTGAACTGAAGAACATTTTGAAGCATTGATTTTAGTTAGTTGAAAATAATGGCTAGAATACTGGTTACATTGCATTATGTGTTTCTAATGTATATAGAACAATATCTTCCATTTGAACAATTAGGATATTTCAAGAATTCTTCAGTCTCTGTCTGAGACAACCAAATGCAACATCCCATCCATCAAGTCTGAGTTTGGTTCTGGAAAAGAAACTGACATTAATGCTGTCCTCGCCGAAGTGGAAGAATTTCTCAAACAGAATACCAAATGCAGCAATGACACCCAGACAAAAACACAGTGTCAACTATCAGGTGGGTCCTGCTCCTGCGACAGTGGTGTTGTTATTCAGGTCAGAAGCAACAGAGATGCTCAGGAAAGCTAGCTGTAGGTGTATCCATCCCCAAATAAACAAAATCAGACTTTTAAAGTTTTTACATTCGTCCAAAATCATACATCTTAGTAGTTACGATTGCGATGTGTTTGTGTCCTGTGCTAACAGCCGAGGGGATTGAGAAGAAGAGCAACAAAACCCAGCATCTGTACAGACAAATGTGCCAGCTTGAAAAGGAGCTGAGTCTGATGGACCCGTCCAGCTTCCCCAGCCCAGTCAGCTTCGATAAGGCCCAGAAGCAGATCCAGGGGATGAAGAGCTACCTTGAAGATCAGCTCTTCACCTCCAGCCATTTGGACCTAGATGAGCCTAAACATGAGAAGTAAAAAAAACAAAAAAAAAAAACATTACACTTACAGCTTTATTTTGAGCTTTTAAAAATGCTTATTGGGACGTGGTGGCTGAACTAGTGCTGTCAAATATGGACTCTTTGTTTCTGTTCTTTCCCTGTATTGACTTTATTTTCCTTCGTCCATGTTTGTTTCCTCTTTTAGTTCAGTTACTTTTCATCTGATTAGTCTTGTCATGTTTTACTCTTAGCCTGCTCTTAGTTTTATTCTTCATGAAAGCTTAATTTAGATTAATTTGCTTTTTCTCTCTCACACACACACCCTCAGTTAGCCAATCGGAACCGTTGCATTGTTCCACATTAACTCTCCCTTTACTTAAACTTCTGGTCCTCACATTCTTTGTTTCCTTCTGTTAAATCCTGTTGTTCTTCCTGTCAGTACCCTGCCGTCCTTGTCCTTATATTTATGGTTTTTGTTCTGCTCTGGCTCCCTTGGTTCTCTGTGATTTTTGTGAGTTTTTGTTCATGTTTTTTCATTAAATCTATAAGATCAACTCTACGTCACTGCCTGCTGCATTTGGGTCCACTTTAAAACAACACATCATAACAAAAGCATTGGCTTGGTCTATTCTTAACCAACAGATTGCCAATATTTACCCTTTCTAGTGGAGCTTTAGTTCCATCTGAAGGGCATCGTATTAAAATTCAGCCCCACAGTTTTGAATATAATATCCTCAGTAATACAAATACAGAAAGCAGCTGCATGTTTGTGATTTGTTGTTAGATTTTCTAGCTTCCTTAAAGGTTTTACTGTGTCAGAGGCTAATGTTAGATTGTAGGCTACTTAAACAGAAACAAGGACTTTTCATAAAAGCACACAAAATACTTTTATGAAAATATTTGCTTCTTTTATAGCAGCGCAAGAACAAAGTATGTGAACTGGTATAAATGTTCATGAAATCTGTTTCATACCTCTGCCATATATCAAGTAAGAGATAACTGCTACAAAATAAGAAAAGCTCTAATATCTCTAAGTTCTCATAGCCAAGGCTGCAGCACAGTAGTAATTTTGATTTGACAAATAATGTAAAACCCTTTCTTTATCTGTCCAATTCCAGGTTTGTTCCTGAGCATGGCACTTCAAATGATGACGATGTTCTGAAAAAAAAGCCACAGCGTCGGGGTTTTCTACCCTGGTGGTTTATCTTTGTCGGCTGGTTGCTGGTGATTGGAACCAGTTTTGTTTCTGGATATTTCACGATGCTTTATGGGCTGAAATTTGGGAAGGAGCGCTCCATCAGCTGGTTGGTATCCATGATCGTCTCCTTCTTTCAGAGTCTTCTCTTTATTCAGCCACTGAAGGTAAGACTTAGTATTTCTGTTGGCCTAAAGCATAACTATCAGATTTATGGTGCTCTGGTTTCAAAACCTGCTCATAAATAATGCCTGGAAACAATTCATGGATTTGATATTGCCTTGAAATTTGTGTATTCAATGTACTGCAGGTGGTATGTCTTGCAGTTTTCTTTGCACTGGTAATAAAGCGAGTCGATGAAGAAGATTTTCAAAATGTGGCGTTTGAAAGAAGTGGAAGAAAGTCTGGTAATGTCGTGATCCTCCAAAAACACACATTTAACTTCCAACAAATGACAACAAACTTTCAAACATTCACCATTTTAAACAGGTGATCAAAATAAAAAACAAACAAGCCAATGGGATTACCATCTTTATGAGCCACCTCCTCCTGCAGACATCGAGAGAATGAAAAGGAACAAGATTATGGAACAGAAGGCCTTTGCTTTGCTCAATGAGATCTTGAGTGAGTATAAAGTTACATTATTTTGGTAAATTATTTGATTTCAGACTTAACTGCGAGGTGTGTTGACTTTTTCTAAACATTATGTTGCAGTTTACATGGGGTTCATGTGGATGTTACTGCTGGTGGCCTATGGTCAGAGAGATCCCAATGCTTTTTTGCTGAAACAGCACATTAAAAATAGCTTTTCTGACGACGTCCCAGACAGCATGACTCTTCAGGATGTTTTTACCTGGGCTAACACCACTCTACTCCAAAACCTTTTTGGAGAATATCCAGGTAGGAATCCTTCCAAAACATTAAAATGTGTCCACACACTTGTAGCTTCTGTTGAAAACAGCTGAAGGTGAACTCAAGTCTAAAAGCTGAATTTCTGTCAGAACAACTTTGATATTGCCTTATGTACAAAAAGTTAGTACTCATTAAGGCTGTTTGCAGCTTTAATGCCGCCCAGTAAAACAGATGTCTGCCTCTAGTTTAGAAAAATAAATATAATCCCAAGATAGCAAACAGATTGTGTTTATTAAACTTTACTTTATTGCCTTTTATCACGTTAATTGGATTTGTGAAAGTCAGCCTATTTGGTTCCATATTATCATTTGCAGGATATTTTGTGACACAAGCTGTAGACACTTTCAGGTGTTTTGATTCTTCTTTCTTTTTTTTTTTTTACGTTGTTAAAATTGTGAAGGATGTCTCACTATTTCTCCCCAAAAAGAATCTGGAGTGTTTTACTTTATATTCAGCGTGAAGATAGGAAGATTTTGCTACTATTAGAAATGTTTGGGTTTTTTTTTTAAATGCTATAATGTTGTGACTTTTTCTTTCCAGTACTAGTAAAACTGTAAAATATTTTCCTGTAGGATTTATCACAGATGGAAACTCCAAGCTGGTGGGGAATGCTCGTGTTCGCCAATTAAGAGTTGAGCAGAACTCGTGTCAGATTGCAAGTCTCATGCTTGGATTAGTGCCAGACTGTGAAGCCCCCTATTCATGGGAGGTAGAAGACACAGGTTCCTACGAAGCTGGCTGGAACCACTCTGTCAAGGAAAGTGCCTCCTCTCCATGGACGTACCAGACTGAAGCTGAGCTCAGAAGTCTGCCATTCTGGGGACGACTGGTGCTCTACAGAGGAGGAGGATTTGTAGCTGAGCTCGGACCAGATATTCAAAATGCCAGCAGGTGAAATTCTGAAAGAAAAACTCTGAATTTTATATATATAAGTCAGAATGACTATAAGGTCAGAAGTCAGTTTCTTGAGAGAAAAAGTCAGGCTTACTTATGAGAAAAAAAAGAAAAAGTCATAATTATTAGATTGTCAGAATGACTAAAGTCAGAAATCTGAGAAAAAGTAACTCTTTGTTTTCAGCTCTAAAACATTATGTTCTTTGTCTACAGCACACTTGAGTATCTTTTCCATAATAAATGGCTTGATAAGTACACAAGGGCAATCTTTGTCGAGTTCACGGTTTACAATGCAAACGTGAACCTCTTCTGTATCGTCACGCTCTTGATGGAGACTTCAGCCGTAGGTGAGGAGTGCTCTTCTAAAGACCTGCAGCTTTATTAAACATAATCTTCTGGAAAATGCAGACTTATTTCTCCTCTTTCTGTGTTAGTAAATCATGTCTTTAACTTTGCAGGAGCATTTCAGTTCTACAGTGATCTGCAGGCTGTCCGTCTTTACCCATCAACAGGGGGGCTTTACTTCTTCGTTATGGCTTCTGAGATCATGTATTTGCTTTTCATTCTCTACTACATGTTCAAGCAGGTAAACACTTTAGTTATTCACTTTAATGCTTCGTAAATCCTGGCAGTGTGTATGAAGCTAAATGAAATCACTGTCAAAGAAGATTTAAACATTTATTTATCACTAGTACATTTGTGCTGGAGTTTTTTCTGGGTTCTGCAGTTAAATTCCCGCACCTTTCATTGTTTTTAACACCTAAAAACCTTACATTTATTTCTATCTACTCAACTTTACGTTACTTTCTTTAGCAAACCTTTCATGGCTTATCCTCTATGGGGAGACTGTCAATTATTGTCTAATAGACAACTTTTGTTCTAATTTACATTGATTTAGTATTTTTCATTTGCTCCAGGCTAAACAAAATTACAGAGATAGTCTGAATTACATCACAGTTTGTGTAATAATATTTGTACTTGAGTTTCCCTGAGTTTAAATGATTTTAAATGACTTATTCAAATTAATTAACTTTGCTATGATATTCTAGTTTAATGATAGGCGCCTTCATACCCTGAGGAGACAGGACGTCTCGGACTTTTTTACTCATTAAACGTCTCTCCAAACTCTGATCAAGTGAAAAAATAGTCATTTTAAAAAGTGCTTGAGCTACATTTATTTTATAGAAATGTGTATTTTATAAAAAGAGAAGTCAGTTATAAATCTATTTCCTCAGTGAGTAAATGTACTTGGATCTGTTCAGGTTCGTAAAGACAAAATGTGGTGGAGTTGCCTGAGGCATGTTTTTTTTTTTTTTTTTCAGTTGTTTTAATACTCTGAAGGTCCACGAACCTAATTTTCCAGCAGACAGCTACAAAACCTCCCTTTAATCTGAATTGCCAGTGGGCACTTTGTGCAACCCGGGATTTTTGATTTCTGTCTGTTTTGCTAATAGCAACTGAACATGCCACTTATGTGTTTTACTAGATCAGTCTAACAAGATATGCAACTCTACTATCATGAATTTTAACTTCTTTTTTTCTGCAAATCCAGTACTTAGGTATATAGCACCTATTGTCACATAAGAAAAAGCAAATCACTCATGGCAGTTCTTTTTCTGGCTTTAATAGCAACAATCTTCTACCATTCGTAATTATGCTACGTATAACGTAATGATGTTCTTTCACCTCCTTCTCCACTATTAATGGTAATTTAGCTCCTGTTAGATATGCTGTTTTGTTTCATTCTCAGTCCCTTAAGACCTTTATGTTGTTCTAGGCTGAAAAACTGAGAAAAAGATATTTGGACAGAGAAAATGTCTGAAAGGGAAAACTTATCTGTTCACATATAAACCACTTTGCAAAGGCATTTGTGACTCTTGGAGCTTTTTATATTTGTTACAATCATTAATTTTTTGCATTTTATTGTGTTTTTTATCATAGACCAACACAAGCAATTGGACAGAATACACACTACTATAAAAAAGACTGTTTTTGAAAGGCGATCTTTGAAAACCACTTAGGCACAGTTCAATTTAATGTAAATTCTTAATTTTACGTCTGGGCTGAGTGGACCTGTACAGTCTATGCTACTGGATTAAAACCCATTTTTCTTATTTAGTTTCAAGAACATTCAATTTACACCAACTCAGAATTTAATAATAAGCACTTAATTAGCAATAAACCATTCTATTTTTATTGTAATCACAGATTTGAATGTTCAGAAGATTTTTTTAAGCCTTTTATTTGAGAAAATCACCTACATCATTTGCTCTAGTCATTTGTTAAAAATATATATTTTTTATTACAGGCCAAATTATTGAAGCAGCATCGTTGGCTTTACTTCAAGAACAAGTGGAACCTTCTGGAGCTGAGCATCATCCTGCTGAGCTGGAGTGCCACTGCGGTTTTTATCCAAAGGACTCTGCTTGGAAACCGTGATATGAAATTCTACCAAACCCACAAAGACCAGTGAGAGCAACATCCAAATCTATCTTATTGTATTATCTAACTACATAGAGCGTGTTTATAATCTAAAATGTTAAACTCAGTGAAACTTTGCTGCTTTTAATAACTCACCTGTTTCTGCCCTTGTAGATTTGCCAGTTTTCGTGAAACTGCTGCAGCCGACTTAGTTCTTCAGTATTTGGTTGCTTTCTTGGTTCTTCTGTCCACTGTCAAACTGTGGCACCTTCTCAGACTGAACCCCAAGATGAACCTGATCACGGCTGCACTGCATCGAGCCTGGAATGACATCTCGAGTTTTCTACTCATCATCGTGATCACACTAGTGGCATACTCAGTTGCAGTGAGTACCTTGCAAAACTTTCATCTCACAATCATCCCTCCTGGCTAATTAGATGAACTAGAATGGATTTTAAAAAAATGATAATTAAAGATATAATTATGGTGTTGTAAGTTGAAGTAAAAAAAAAAAAAAAATCTGCTTCTCCAAACCTTTCCCCATCCAAATAAATATTAGAGATAAAACAATTCAAATTAAAGTTATTTAATTTATATATGTTTCTTTTAGAATGTTTCAATATGCAATTTGCACATTGCAGGAGATAATCATAATTGAACAAATATGCTAATTTCACTCTTACCTTTCTTGCTTGACTAAGTCTGTGTTATTACATTAAAAAAAATCTGAATATGGGTGTGATTGTGCAGGATTATGAAAATGACTTTTGGATTGTATCAAGAGTATAACATGATAGAACAAAGTCATCACTGCTTTAAACTTGCACACATTTTCTGCATGGAGGCTTTAGTGGTTCAAAATTGTGACAACAGACAAAAATCCAGGGTAAACATACCAATAACATTCTTGGGTCCCTTGCACATAGAGATCGGTATACGTTTTGCACCATGTGGATGTGTGCAACTCAAAGTTGTGCATATCTTACATAAAGATAAGTCGAGTTTTTCAGGCATTACATTGAGCAATGAGGACAGAGAAAACAGAGGAGGAGCAGGGAAGCATGCAGGCAGAGGTTTATAATATTTCACAAATCTGACACCCGGACTCATTAAAAACAACTTCAAGCTTCAGAGCTGCTGTTGGATAAACTTAAATACAAAACACACATTTAGGACTTTGTGTGCATGATTCCTTTTGATTGCACTTGCTAAGATATGTAAAAAGAGCACTGATTCTGGTTACAATTATTTCATAAAATAGCACAAACCTGCACAATCTGTACAGAAACCTCCCTCACCTGCATTGTCTCATTCTGAATTAGTTGATTAAAATATTGATGTTTCCTCCATAGACCCAAACTGATGGAAAAAATGAGTAAAAATGCAATAAAAACTTCAAGCACCTTTAATTATTTAGTTTTATTGTCTGGATACAAAACATCGAATATTTCCAACTTCTGCTTTTATTTGTAAATTATTCTTTATTTGTACTTAATGTTATTAAAGAAAAACATTGTTGTTTAAGTAAATTACTTTTAAATGATCCGTTTTAAGACTTTAATTTGTCATAAATAACTTCAGAGTTTCATGTGTCGATTGTCACATGTCATCTTTTCAGAGCAACGTAATTTATGGCTGGGAGATTTCATCTTACAAAACCTTTTTAGATTCTCTTCTGACCATCATCAGTCTGCAGATAGGCATCTTTAACTATGACCAGGTAAACGGTGTGATTTAATATTTAATATTTTTGACTCATTTAGGTGTTTCAGATTAACTGTATTTAATGCATTCTTCAGTCTGATGTTTTACAGTTAACTGTGCACACTGATCCACTGCATTATTCTAAAATAAAAAACAATGTTTACTCAGATGTTTTACTCAGCTAAATCATTTCCCAGGTTTTGGACAGTCACCCAGTCCTCGGCGGATTGCTGTTTGGCTCCTGTATTGTCTTCATGACGTTTGTGGTTCTAAATCTCTTCATTTCAGTGATTCTTGTGTCTCTAAACTTGGAGCAAATGCATCACAAGGTAACACTAATTTTAAAATTCTTTACTTGGTTAACTGTTTTTATCTCATTTCAGAATATCTGAGTTTAAGCATTATACTTAAACACAATTTAAGTACAATATGTTAGAAGCTACATGTGTTTGAATTCTCTGAGAAGAAAAAAATGATTTCTGAGTTATTGATCACCCAATCACTGATCATAAAAAATTTGGCCTGTTTCCATCACCAGTTGATTTCTGGGTGTCGCATCTCTGATTATGCATGCATGCATGATAAATAGCTCTGCTTTATCATGTCAACACTTCTAATTCAAACTTCTTTAAAAGTCCGGCCACAGTCTTTGCACGGCCTTTACAGTAGAAACTGTCCAACAACTGCAGATCAGAGAGAGAGTGCATTAAAATCTGAAAACTGTGCAAGGAAGAACTCAAAATACAAAACTGAACCGGGCTCCAAACCTGACGATTAAAAAATGGTTTCACCTTTGAAAAGCAAGCAACAGAGAACCTGCTTCCATTATCTAGGCAGTAGACAACCCTTGATCCATCCAAAATGTTTTTTGTTTTTTTTCAAACTCATCAGAGTTGTTTTGAAGGTAAAAGGTGGGCCATCCTGACAGATGCTCGTTATGTTGTAACTCAACAGCATCTGCCTGAGACAGAAACTAGAATCTTAATCATGAACCTGCGAAAACATAGGACTCTACTTAAAACTTGAATTAATTTTAAGAATGTATGTTCACGGTTCACAAATCAAATGCTAGTTAACATTTCACTTCCTCATTCTGCCCTTTTAAAGTTGCCCAAAGTATAAAGCTGAAATTTCTTTTTTTTTTCACCCACCGGTTTGTTCTGCTTAACCCAACAATTGATCTGTGAAGAAATGGCTCTTTGATTTTCTGTTGTTCATTAACCTTCCCTCACCTTTTTCTAATAAAAAAGGTTTAGTTTCTTTGTTGGAAATCTTAAAGCTTAAAGAATTGTAATAACCAGTCATAAATAATAATTTTTCATTATGATTACTACCATTGTTCTGTAAATAAAAGACTTTTAATAGCAGTCTAGAAAGTTCTAAGTGGTTGTGAATAGAAATGGGTTAGTTATGAAAAAAGTCATAATTTTTAAAAGGTCACTGATTATGGATTCAGAAAGTTTTCTGCTGTTAAATCCTTGGAGATTATTTTCAATATTATGCTAGCTTAATGGAGAAGGCTCACCACAAAGCATTTTTATGTTTCCATGTGAAAATATATCTTTTCCAGATGGTTTACTTACTGGAGAGAAAAATATTTTTAAGCAACGACATATAATTTAATTAAATTAAGTATTTCATTTTTTTATATTAATTGTCAAAACAACACAAGAGTGTAGGGAAATAATCATTTTAAGCTGTTAGCAAAGAAAGATTAATATTTCCAAAATATGCTGGGATGTGGAATAGTTGAAAATGAAATAACAGTTCCTGTCAGTTTTTTTAACGAGTAGAAGTAAAGAAATAAATCGGAACAATAGTGGATAAAGTGATAACTTTTGTTCAAATCAAGCCAGTAGAAGGACCAATAAAAACATTTTTTGTGGTCCCTACTGCATGCTGTTGTCACTGCAGCTGTTTTATATAAAACTTTACTTTGGATAAATCATCTTAGATAAATGTTGTCATTGAATGTTTTTGAGCCAGAAATAGCATTATTTATGTTTATGAGGCAATCTGTCGGATGCAGTGTTCTGTAATGTCCTTTTCCGGTATAATTGCAGCTGTCTAGACAGCCTTTGCTGTCTGAAAACATTACCTGTTCCTATTGCCAGAGATCACAAAAAACTATCATAATTATTAACAAAAATCCCAAACATTTTGTTGAAATCAGTGGCTTGCATAATGGTTTGTGTGTTATGCAGCTTTTTCCTTTCTTTCTGCCATTTAGTGTAATTTCATCTCATATCTCATTATTGCAGATGTGAATCTAACTTGAGTATGCAAGGTCTCCAAATCAGCCCATAACATCCTCTGATATTAAGTCCCACTGCTCAATATTGCTGCATTTTGTTGTGAAAAGCAGGATCCACAGCTATATTAAAAGCATTTGCACAAAGGTCAAAGTCAATATTGTGTTCAAATCATAAATTCAAATGGTAACTGATAAGTTCTTAAAACATTTTTATCACAGCTTGGCTCTTAGGCTCGTGTGTAACACGCACAATAAGAGTGTCTTCTGACAACTTTTTCTCGACAGCAAATGCTTTCCAGTGTCTGAAAACCAAAGAGTAAGAATCAAAGTTATTGGTCCAAAGTCTGATGGCTCATGCCTGTGTCAGTGTTTTTGTTTTTAAAGTGATTCTGATTTTGTTTCTTCTGGCCCAGCCCTCTGAAGAAGAAGAGATTGTTGACCTCCTGCTGAACAAACTCTGCAACCTGTTTGGTATCAGATATAAAAGTGAAAAAGACGCCGTGGAGCCCGACGGAGAGGGCAGCAGCAACTTGACCCTTAATAACAACAGGGATATTCTTACTAACACCTCGGTTGAAGACAACATTTATCAAAAGTCTGACAACTAAATGAACAGGAGATGTATGTCAAGATTTTATGTAGTAATTTCCTCTTTCGTTTTTGCTTGTTACATTAAAGAATGATTCAAAACTTTACTCTATAGAGTAGATATGCACTTCTGATTACACTGCTGCTTGTTCTGCTTCCTTTGCAGTTGTGCATAGTTTAATATGATCCTCTGGGCTTTTAGTATGAAGTAGGAAAAACTGAATATCCTATTCAAAAAGTTGTTCAATACAGCTTAGTTGAATAAGTTACAGTACTACTGGCACTGAAGTCTGAATGAATTTTAGAAAGCATCTCACTCCTTTCTTTCACGTTCTGTGATGATCAAGCTGCTTTTTGCAGGGTCTGAATGACCTCATCTTTGTTAGTTTTTTATCTGCTTCAGAATAATTCCCAACAGATTTATTTACTAGTTTCTTTATTTTCATAGCAATGATGATATTTGTTGACTTTAATAAAATGGGCCAAATTATGTTATTTAAAAATGGCCTTGTTTGCAGTAACAGTAAGAACTTTAGACATTTTTTACCTCCTTCGTCATCATGCTTACTGATAAATTTGGGTCACCTTCTGGACTTGTTTGTCAAACTCATCATATTAAACTTGCTGTAGATATGCAAAAGTTTAAGTATGTTTTCTTGTCTTCCTCAGTTTAAAGAGTGCTATGAGAATGATATTGTGTGTCATTCACATAGCACACATTGCTTTCCTTATCCCAGGAAAATAAAAATAAAAATGCACAGGTTACTAATAAACTTATACATTTGCATTCTCTTAAAAAACCTGAAATTAAATTTCCAGATTAAATTTCCAATGGAAAACTACACCTACATTTTAGGGTAAATTCATAAATTTGAATTTGTTGTAATTCTCATCAACATTTTCCACAGTGAAGGCATTTAAAACTCAGATCCTGTGTGTATGTTCCTCATTGCTGCATAATATTATCAGGATGTGACGTACCAAAAGCTGGCATACGTTATTGGTGAATAAAGCATGGGAGTCATATTAATGCCATATTATAAAAGACATCTGTTATCAAAGAAAATCTTGAACTTCAAGACCTTGAAGTGCTTAGACTGAGCACTCAGATGTCACAAACTATTCATCTTTTTGAACTTTTCCTCAGTGCGCTTTTGATTTTAAAGCTGTGTTACTGGAGAAGAGGTTATGAAAAACAAGAGCACAACTACGTTAAAAGTAAGGTTTACCAGAAAAAAGTAATTTTGTCCGTCCATATATTTACTGTGCAGGTCTGGCTCTGTTGAGTGACATTGAAAGAGGGGCAGTTATCACTTGACAATTGAAAGCAATTCCACTCCAAAACCAGAGGTATTAATTTGCTGCTTTTATAACTTGGCTGAGAGGATTTGTCTCTGCCTGCCGCTAAAGCATTAGTGAGGTGGGGTCAGTCACCGAGGGCCCAGTTTATGTATTCACATCAACAGAGTTGGACAAGGTTCAGGTTGGGGCTCTGTGCAGTCCGGTCACGTCCCTCTGAAGCACGGACTGGAGGCTATTTCCATATGGACCTTTTCTTCTTATAGCACATGAAATTGCTGTATTAAAACAATACAACTAGGCAGCGGCATACAGTTGAGTAAATAAATAGGTTAACATTTGGAGGACAAATGTTCTCAGCCAAGTAAGAAATTAGACCCAAAGGAAGAACTTTCTCTATTTTAGTGCCATTGGGTTTTGTCTATAGAAATGTTTCTATTGATTGTAAAAATTAATATTCACAATGCAAACTTTACCACCACAGAAAATCTACCAGGGTGACGCATACTGGTCGCACTGTACATTAGCAGTCAAAGGAATAAGAGGCAAGAATAGATACATCTCTGGAAAAAATTAAAGAGACCACTTAAAATCACCATTTTCTCTGAGTTTACTTTCTAAAGTTATATGTTTAAAATAAACATTGTTCTTTTTTTCTATGAACTACTGACAACATGTCTCTGAAATTCCAAGCAAAAATTTAGTATTTATTAGCAGAAAATGAGAAATGGGCAAAAATAACAAAAAATATGCAGTGCTTTCTGACCTCACATACATTCATATTCTTTTAGAAACAACAATATTGATGTTTTAACTCAGAAAGAGTTCAGAAATCTATTTTTGGTGGAATAACCATGAGGTTTTCAATGGGGTTCAGTGCAGTGCTCTCTTCATTTTTTAAGAGCTGTATATTTTTCTTCTGTCATTATTCACCATATTCCCAAAGAAATTAAGTATCACTCTTTAAATATCTGTGTCATACTGGGAAACAATTGGGTACGGCAGCAACATAAAGGTAAAATCAAAGGTGGATACTAACAAGCTGCAGTTATTCAGCTGACTTGAATAACATTTCTTGAGTAACTTTTGGAAAAAATTATCTTTGAGAGTAGTTTTCCTTCACTGCATTTTTACTTTTACTTCAGTAATATGAATGTAAATTATTGCTTCACTTACTTCAGTAAAATCTTTAATACTCTATCAATACAAAGAAAAAACATTTTTTAACCAAAATAGTACAAATTTATGTGAAAGTGAGACTTCTTGTTTGTTCACATGTTATTTTTTATCAGCTGACCCTGTTGTGCCACTTGGAGGTCCATAAATAATAAATATCATATATTGTCACTGGAAGTATCTTACCCTATTCTAAAATATACACATTACCCACTAAGTATCAGTTTCATGAAAATACATTTTTAATGTCTTACAAAATAAAAAATAAGAACCAGTTGGTTTACTCAAGTACTCATTAATTTTCACTGGTAATTTTTATTGAGAGCCATGGAGAATTTAGTACTAGAGCCTGAGAGTTAATATAATTAACTACTACTTTTCTGTGTTGTTAATATTGAGCAAAACCCTCAATTTAAACAAATCCCCACAGAAAACTGTTCATATCAGAGTATAACAAATCATTGCAATTGTACGACGTTTCAATGTTTCAGGACACTGTTGCTATTTTGCTGAGGAATAAGCACAAATCAAAGGCCATGTGCATCAATAATTAAGACAGCAGCAGACAGTAATTAGAAAAAAAAAAGTTTCATGTTTGTTATTGTGACAAAAAACCAAGACAGCCAAGAAAAAAATGGGAAGTCCACGAGTCTGTCATAACCCTTAATGCCAAATTATAAACAGCACAGTCTTGCTGAGAAAACCCAAGACACTGTGCTGCCGGCATGTCACAGGCCAGCCAGGAGAGCTGGAGGTTATTTTGTCTCTCAGTGGGTGAATACTGCCATAAAACTCACAGCGATATTTCCAAAATGCATATTGAAGTAATGGATTTCATTTGGTTTTGTAGTTGTTTCACAAAAGTTTGCACTTGAGACATAATTTAGTGCTGCTATAAATTCCTTCTGAAGCTTGTAGAACTGCTTCACTTTCAATGAATTTGATGTTTTAAGTGCTTTGTCTGTTTACAGTCCTTCCCTGCATGAGCAAAACATACAGATAAGGTCACAAAACAGAGTTTGGCTTTTACTTTTCATTTCATAATACAATGTCTTCTAATACCATGTGTGCAAACATAAATAGTTTTTTTTTTTTTCTAAATTGGCAAAGCACATCAGGGCTGCAAGTCTTATTGGGAACAGAAATACCAGGAACTACAAACATTGCACACAGTGGCTATTTTGAGATTAGTTTCTTCATCATGGATCTCAATTTGCTCACACTTTTCTTGATCTGGACACTCATAGACATATAGAGACCCCTAGTTGACTGTGATGGGTAACCGTAGCAACCCAGGACACATGCATTTCAGTGTGAATACAATGTTCCATACATAACATCACTCACCCACAGGATTGATCTTTTCTTAACACAATTCAAACGTTTACCTGCAAACATTGGACAAAGCATTTAGTTGCAACAATCTCAGCCATGATGGTGCAGCTTTGGTCACATTCCTCACCTTTAAATACAGGCCAGAAAAATACAGAAAATAACAGAAAAACATCTTAAAACATTAACATAAAACAACTGATTCATGACTGTATGCACTATATCCACTGCTTCTTATGCCATGACAATATTTTGCTGCTGAATCAGATTTTCGTTTTGATAAATTTCAAATTAATGCAAGTATTATAGTTTTCCCAGCACTCATAGAAATATGTTAATACGGTATTTAATGTATTCTATATGAATTTAGAAAACTGTCTTCAATAACAGCCGGTCATCAAGTCAAACAAAATATTTTTTTTTAAATCCTTTCATTCAACTCAGGGTTAGCTTAGTTAAAAGAGAAAATGTCACCAGTAATTTTGATTTATAACTCTTTGTTGAATTCCTGTATGAATTTATCGGGTAGACACAAAAGGATAATAAAATACCCTAGACCTCATGTTTGCCATGGGAGTGATATATTAAATGAAACTGAACAAAGAAACAACGCCTTTGTAATGAAAAGCTCCTGCAGGCAGAAATGGAGGTGGGGTGAGTCACACTGCAAAGAATTATAAAAATAAAGTTGGTAATGCTAGTCATCATTTCAGTCAAGCAGCAAAAGATCACAAGTGCAGAAAGATTGTAATTTATGGTAATATTTGCCTTTATTTCAGAGTGAAACATTCAGGACAAACAATGCTGTGCAATTTAGTCACCTTTACATGCAGACAAAGACATAATAAAAATTAAGAAAACATTGTGAAAATTTAAAAGAAGACATAAAAAGACTTTATATATGGCAAAGTAGATTAATGATCCACAAAATCTGATAAAATACATAGAGGGTTGGATTTAAAATTAAAACAATGGAGGATAAAAGACTTTGTCTTTAATTTTACTGTAAATATCAAACCAGAGTTCAACTGGTAAAACAGAACAGTCATATCTACAATAAGTAAATTTGTGAAGATGAGGAAAAATATGTAGTAATCTGTGGAAAAAATTGATATACTTTCTCCAAAATACCTGCTGTTTAAATAGGAACATGTACAGATTTTAGTGTAAATAGTCACTCTCCCTTTGCAAAAAGAAGTAAAGATATTTATGGATCTGTTCAAAATGTCCTACTTGACACCTTGCAGAGACAATGTTTAACTGGGAGGAGGCTGAGTAGTAACCTCGAGATATGGAAGAG